CTTCCCAGTACTGACACAAAATGTGTATTTACATTCCTATTTCATAATATCATAATCATATCATCGCTACAACGAACCAGCTCGGTGACAAGTAAATATTTAAGCGCGACTCGCGAGATTATGTATCTATCTGATGAGTCTGACAGACGATTGTCTATTTGTTTAAAAGTATATTTGGTGTTGATCATTGAATACCCGGTCATTATGTAAAATGAATACAATTCTTTTGTATGATTACGGCTGAAATGGGCATGATTATGAAGTTGTATTATTGCTGGTTTGTGCTATTGTGTTATCGCTTTTATTAGAGATTGATATGCTTGATCGGTGGCAACTTCAGCGAATCTAGCCAAATGTTATTGTTACTGTTATACCCAAGTAGAGAAAGTTGCTTTGCAAAACTAGTTTACTTTTACTTTTACTTTTACTCTAGACATTGTATTATACTGAAGTTGTCAATTGATCAACTAGATTGTAACTTAGTCACACTTCATTTTAGTGTAGTTATTCATTCGTGTTTATTCCGAGTCGAGTCAATCATTTATTCTATTGTCGCATTCAGTTTCAGTTAAGAAATCACTGGAAATCGTTTGAATTTCACTCGCACTTCTTCGATGGATTACAGTTTTATCACTTGATATTTATTGGAGGATAGAGTTAGAAGTTGGAATAGAAAATATTGAATCTGAAAAAATACTAACAATAAGAAATTTTTCTTATATTGGCGATTGATAGGAAAATAACATTTGGAGAATTTGAACATGTAGTTGAAATGAGAATTTGAAAGTCCATTGAAAGTTATTTTTTCCACTCAAATTACTAAGCAAACATGCAGATGGTGATAGTAAATGTTATTTGATGTAAGCCTATTATTCTGTGTTTAATACCGTCTTCGATGTATTCGTATTTGGTCTTGTTGCAGCGATTGCATTTTGCAAATTTAATTGATGTTTTTTTTTTAAATTTCTGACGAATATTTCTCATTGTCAGGTGTTTTATTGAGCATCTTCAGAGCAAAATGTTTGTGTTGTGATCGTATTGAATCCGTTAATATACTCACATAGAGGTGTATATCCATATTCCTTCATCTATACAGCGTAATCTACAATTCATCCAATACATATACTCATTTGCCTATTTATTACCTGTAATGCCAAGTGTTAAACTGGTCAATGGTACTTCAAATCCTACGTGCAAATGTTATTGTATTGGTGGGAAACGTATCAGTTACCCGTACGGATGGGTAGCTTCAACAAATCATGATCTCAATGCTATGGGTAAGTGGATAATTGATCTAGAAACTTGCGTATTCTCATCGATTCAAACGTTCAAGCCTTTTCTAAACGTCGTCTTACAATAAGATTTAAACCTGTCAGCTTTATTGAATCGGTCATCTTATTGTTAGATTCTTTCTAAAATATATGCCATTTTCTGTGCCATTATTCATCTTGAGCAATGCATTGATTCGAGATAATCACCAGGAGAGAGCAAAAAGAGGAGCGCTCGAATTGTGGTTGGAGATTTTATTTCGTTACTAAAACCGATTGAAATGCTTCTGTTCCATAGTCCAGCTGTTTCATTGTTGTGTGATGTGTTTTCATTGTTTATAACAATTCTCCGAATCTATTGTTTTCATGGTGGTGATTGATTGGAAGGATTAGTCCGCATTGAGAGGAAGTAATCCATCAGGCACACTCTCAGTCCGTTGAGTTCCCCTTCTCGTGCTTTCGCAGCTTTGATTTTGAAGATTTCTCTTCAGCTTCAACGATTTTATTCATGGAAAATTTGCTCCAGTCTGAAAGTTTCATTCAAATTTCAATCAAATCCCATTGATTGCTTCATTGAATTTTACGAAAAAAAAACATCATTGAATTGATTCGGATTTCCATATTCGATCTATTTTCAAGTTTTAAAAAACAGCCACACATTCCGTCTCATACAATCAAAACGAAATCAAAGTTTCATTAAGCCGCCTGCAAATTGCTAGTTCATCGTTTTGAATTGTTGTTTATGTGTTTATGTTCTGAAAATTTGATTTTGATCAGAAAAATTTCGAATATTTCCATATGAAATGAGTGTTTAGCAATTAGATCAACTGCATTCACAAAAAAAATTGAGAGCTACTTTGCTATTGTGTGTGATACAATACAATTCAACATAATACAGTGATGATTCACTCAATTTCCGATGAAAACTGGTTTCAACAGTCGACTTTTGTGGCGAGATTTATTTCACTGCATGCATATAAAGGCAGAATAAATTACGACTGAATTTTGCTCTTATTGGACACTTTTTGAATTTTAATTTTTGCTATGCGCATCATACACATAATTCAAATTTCAGTAACTGCATGATCATACACAGAGTTAGTATCATATACAGATCATAATCATTTGTAGTATTATACAATGCACTATGGTGACAGCCTTTGACTCGACTCTTCAGTTATTGAATTTTGATTATTTCACTATTGATTCGTGACAAATTATTCAATTGTTGATAGTTCTATGAGATATTGCTGTTTTAGAGAATTTATAGCGAGTGAACATCGTGCATTTCTTCAATTTTAAGACAGCTGTGACTTCATTAAGTGAAACTGTCGAAGGACGTAGAAACTCAACTCAATTCCGTGTCTGGCTTAGATTCTTGGAAATAGAATGGAACATTAAAATAATTTAGTTTACTCGCGAAAATCTTGACCAATTTTTTGAATCTAAAGTGGACAAATAATTGACTTAGGTGAAATCGATATCTTTGAAAGAGTTTAGATTTTCCACTATGGATCTACGATGTACCGTGAGTGTTGGCGATATCTGTAGCGAGATTTTTCGGAATGTTTTTTCCACCAGTGTTGTGTGGAATTCTCTAAGGAAATTGATGCATATTGTCTTATTGCAGTGTTACAATTTATTCCTCGATACTTCAACATTTTTGCCATATCTTTTTTCTGTTTTCGCATCTTTTTTCTTGTGAACTGGATTTGCTGTTTGATTAAAATGGCACATTTTTATGCACCAACTCTATCGTGAACTTCAATCGTTTCATATCGATTTCATTTGTTCTCGTATTTGACACCATCGATGGATATTTTGAGCGAGTCAAAGTGTGATTCATAGTTTTGCAGATCTCCCTGATTATCGTTCTCTAACATTTCTAGACTCGATCGATCACCTGATTGTTCCAATAATACCTTTAGCTTGTTGTTAGTCCGATTATATTTCTTTGATCATCGATATGAATTCATGATTTCCGTGCCTTACCAATTCACGGTTTTTCAGCCGTATGAAAGCAATCGTTGATCTATTCTATTCGTCATCTCAGTCTCGTCTACTACATACTAATCGCTTGTTATCTGCTTGATTTAATCCTAAAGAAAGCAGCTAAAGTATTAGAGATATGTCAGTGAAAGTTTTGACGCGTAACCAAGGCAACCAAGAGATTTAGGCTGGTGAATCAATAGCGAAAAACTTTGCTTGGTTGGTCTCTAACCTTGAATCCGCTGGAATGTTGTGTTGTGTGCAGTGAGGAATAATTTATGTGAAGTTTAAGAAATACACACAAATGTGTATGTGTACATCTATGTATAAGCAACTATACTTGTGGCTACTACCTACTTTCTACTGGATGATTTAATTTGTGAATTATTCACAATACATGCAGAGTGCGATCCATTTGAGTAGTAGTGAAGAAAATTTACGATGAATTGATTTGAGCAGACTTCATTCATTTTATTCAAATCAACCTGTCTTAGTGGAACTTCCTGTGTTGTCGTTCCCCTCTTATCCAAGCTGTTCGTTTAATCAGACATTCGTAAATCTCTTCACCCTCGCATATTCTCTTTTCTTCGAATTTCAACTTCATCAGCTTTCCAACGTCCATATGATTGCAAAATTTCGACGTTTCCCATCTCGTATGAGACGTTCACATACCTACTCATATTCTCCAACGATTACAGGTATCTGCTTTTATTTGTATTGAGAATGCTGGTGCTGATGCTGATTATAACTTTCGATGATTTGAGTGAGTGATTAATAGATATAAGAGACTTCCTTGTTAGTAGACAACGTCATTATTCGTGTACTCTGCGAGTGACAAATTGGAATGTTGAATTAGGCATACATAATTTGACAGCAAAAGTATGACTGAACAGATATGGTGAAGAAATGAAAGATTAGAAAAAAATTTTTTTAGCTTATTTTTTCTGAAAGAAGGAAGTGCAGAATGTAAAGTAAATGAATTTGCAAACTCATTGTCAATAGTGAATTTGTTTTCTTAGTTGTATTACGCCAACGAAAGCAATCATCACCTGATATGATGGCGATCATAATTTCATTGACTCTTATCATATCATATCAAAACACTGTCGCATAGGGCAGAGTGAAAGCATGGCAGATGCTAAGTTATGATTTGACCAATCAAATGATAAAATGTTCGCTTGAATTTTTTGGCTTAAACCATTTCGAACACACACAGAAACTTTGTGATTATGATTTATTTTAGAGCAACTGTAAAAACTCCTCTTATCATTGTATGAATTGTTTACAATTGAGCTGATAACACTTTATCACTGTCAGTGATAAAGCTTGATCAGTGTCTTGATCATCCGTTCCATTAGCAATTGCATTTCAATACTTATTGCTGGTTGTCATCCAGTCGGCCTTCTGTCTTCTTGTTTCTAAATGATGTTTCGTGCCCAAACTGAACGACGAAAGACGGAGTCTGTTGCTCAAGTCTCGCGTCTCGAAAGATTAAGACATCGATCGCAAATCTTAAGTCATATTAATCGTATACATTCCTCACATTCTGTAACAAGTAAATTTTTTTCTTTCTCTCGAATAAATCAAATTTCGAGTAACATATCATTTGACCTGACAGTGAGGTAAATTTGAACATTTGTTTGTCAGCGTTGAAAAGCGTACGCGCAAGTAAGGATGATCGATCTGATGTGTTAAGTGGCTAGATCATTAATGATATTGATATAATCATAGCAATAGTGATAATTATAGAGAGCAAGGTGTTATTCATGAGAGTTTGATATGATTTGATAGTGATTTGATAGTAATCCTCATAATCATTGTTATCATTAATTGATCAGTTCATTGCAGTTGACAGCAATCAGTTGATCCCAGACCGTCCGCCCGTGGAACAGGACGACGAGGCATTCGCATCGCAGTCTTTGTATCCAGCTGCTTTGAAACAGCTGGAACATCTGAGTATCGATCGGAAAACGAGTGCGTTTCAATTGATCATTCGATGAGTTTCAAACAAATTTATCCTTAATGCAACGATACACCCTTTCTTCCCCTCTCGAATAATCTCTCTCTTTTTGTCGTGAACTAAAATTAATTTCAGGTGTTCCAGCACAGGTACTGAGTGCTCTAACGGGCAGTTCTGCAGCTGCTACGCACGCACGTGTTATGGGACGTGTGATGCGGGTTGTGGTCAGTGTGAACACAACATTCATTTCAATCAAAATTCTGAACCCAGACNCATTTTGACTCCGTTCAATTTCTTTCCAATTCGTATCATTCATTGTATCCGTCGGAGATCATTTTGGTTTACATTCAGCTGTATTTCTCGCTGACAGCAAATCAGTGATTGCTCTCAATGATTCTAACTTCAATATTTCTCAGTCAACATCGAAAATCTTCCACAGAACCATAGTTTTATTCATGCAATTTGGAAGTACTTTTCTGACAGTTTTCTGTTGATCGTGCTCAATTTTATGATCACATCAAGAGGTGGTCTTGTTTACGAGATCAGCTGATCGATCGTTCAGGCATTGCTAAACAAAATGCTTTCAGGTGGCTGGCTCAAAAAAAGTCGGCAAGACTGCTTGTCTTCAACAATTGGCTTGTGTTAACGATATCACCAGTCAGGTAGTCATATCTCTCAAATATTCTAAATCAGTTCAAATGTATTCATTCATCATAATTATTCTGCTTCTTCAATAAAGCATTCAACCAGAAATACTCCGTTTTATTAAGGATTGATGAATAATTTCTCAAGAGATTCTATGTGATGAACTTAGTCTGCGTGACATTTTGCCGTTTGACTATATGAACTAATATATTGTTTTTCAAAACTTATGCAAACGAAAGGCATGAAAAATGTTTAAATTGCTCTCTAACAGTCAGTCCTGTGAATAGGAAATTGTTCGTGTGGAATAATTTTTATTGAGATATTGTGAGATTCAATGTTTCAAGCGATGTTATGGGATAGAGCGCATAAATATATGTATATCAAGATTGGCATGGGGACGGATTTGTTTCTGTCCATCCCCGCGGGGAAACGAAAAGTCACTTCTGCCACCCTAATTCCCTTCGCTGTCGTCCTTGTGAGGACCCCCCGCAAGGACGGCGTCCCCGTTGCAGTCTTAAAATTTATGATTTGATTTCTGAAATGAATCGCTCACTCACTCGTTTTGCAGCCATATGAGCCAACAATCGACGATACCTACCAAGTTCAAATGGACTATGGTGATCGACCAAAAGAGATTATGGTGTTTCATGACACGGCTGGACTGAACGAATATGGACCCGTTGAGTTGAGGAGACCGTACATACAGGTAAATTTTACCGTGTTCTATGCCACCTATGCAAACCTTCAATTGTTCAGGTCGTTTGAATTGCCTGAACGAATCATTTCTGTGCTATGTTGAAATAAAATCAACACATCTAGCCTTAACTAGTGGGATTCAACGCATCAATAGTTTCAATGAAGTTGACCTGAATTAAAGTTCAAATAGCTGCACTAAATTAGAAATTATGGAACTAGTTAACGCACTTGTTCCGAAAAATTTTGTAATTCTCGATTTTTTTGCGATTTATCGTCAGTTTCGACCGATTTATATGCAGTATCTGTTCTGAGGTAGAGAGTACAAATTTGGTTTGGGTCTATTTTACAGTTGTTTTGAAAATGATCAGTGTATTTGAGGTTGCCGATGCGTTCGTCCTGGTCTATTCGGTTCTAGATCATGAGTCGTTTAATCGAATGGATATGTTGAAGAAGTTTATCGATAAGCAGTTCGGAAAAGATAAAAAAGAAGTGAATTTTCATTCTTCCATTCATTTCTGTCACTTTTTCGCTTTTTTGATCGAAATTTCATCATTCCATCGTCGTTTTCCCATTGAGGAAGTTTGAAACTTCATTTTGTTCAAGTGATATTGTTGGCCATGCGTAAATACGTGTTGGATTTGAGGTGCCGATTGTTGTTTTGGGGACGATGTGCGATTTACCGGGTCATAAAGTAGACAGTGATTTTGCACAAAATTGGGCGAATCGAGAGAAAGGTAACGACTGCTTCGATCATTAAGGCTTTTTATGAGAAATAGATTGAGGCAAAACCACTTTTTACGAATCGCTTTTCTAAATCGCTTTCAGCTCATTTCAGTGCTACTTATTATACGTTTAGATTAACTGAACTGATATTTCTTACAGTGAAATTGTATGAGGTGACAGCGAAAGATCGAAATACTCTCGTAGATTTGGTAATCTATTTGGGAGGTCGACATTTTCATTCACAGCGTTCGTTTCCATTTTTCATTTTGCAAAAGATTTTCTCCTTTTTCTCACATGAATTTCCACCAAACTAAAAAAAATTTTTCGATGTGAAATGATTCCGCAAGAATTTCATCAAAAAAAGCACATCTTCCTTATGGATATTATCACCGTTATACCATTGCACTTTCAAATGGTCATTTCAATTTCAGGTGAATCGAAATTTTCGTTATCGAAGAAATTAAAGCCAGAAAAATCAAATGCGGCCATACAAATGGATATATGAAGAAGAATTCGGGAATAGGTGCGAGGATAATCTGAATATAACCAATTCATTATTGCCAAATGCAATCAACGATTCCAGTGGAATCGCGTTGATCAACGAACGATTCGAATCGTTTCTTTTGGAACGTTAAACTGAATTTGTTTCGTGCAAATCGAACCACAAGTTTGTATCCATCATTCCGCCTCAACGTAAACGAACTCAGAGAAATTTTTGTTGTGTTTTTGTGTTGTTTTTCGAGCGATTTTCATTTCATTTTCACTAAAACTTTGACTTTTCGCATATATTTGTTAATAGTATTGTTGAGATTTTCACCGTAAATTTCTTCAAATTTACTCTATTCAAATGTAATTTAAAACTCATTGACAGCTTATTGAATTCGTTGTTGTAATATAATTTGCGCAGTTGATTTATTGTTACACGGTACAGCATACTTGCCTTGTTTTCATTTCCTATTTATTAGGTTTTGCTTACGCGAATCTTTTTTTGTTTTGTTTAAGTCAGTTTTCGACGAAATCGTAGACGATTTCAGTTGGGATATTCTCGAAGATTTCCATTGTTTGCCGAAAATTCGTCCGCTCTACAGCTAAACATTACTGGAAGTCAAGTTGTTTCTACGGTCTTCTCTTGAAAAGCTCTCTTGGATTCACTTTATAAGGCGATTATTGCTCGTTATACTGGAGATTTTGAAGGGCTTGTCCTGAAGGAATTCCGAATCTTAGTTATGATAGATGGATTTTCTGCTTTGGAACATGGAAGTTCGGCGGTTTTTCTGCAAACAAGCTGGACAAAACAATCGATTCCTCAAAAATATCCCATATCCCGAAATGAGGTGATTTTATCTAAGAAAATCGTCATATTCCGGTTTCGAAACCAGCATAATTCGTTATGCTCTCGTGATTGACTATAATGTACGTAGTTGTTCTTTCTACTTGATATGTTCATTGATTAGTGATGATACTATTTCTGATTATACTTATTATTGTTATTTGTATAGAATCGGGTTCACCATCGTTAAACTGTGCTTTACGCTAATTTTGGCCTCTTTGAAATTAGTTGTTATTTTTTTGTTTGCATTGTTGCTGACTGAATTTTGATCTGGACGTATTGTTGTGTAAATATTATAAGAATGTGATATATAACAACACTAATAA